TACAATGCATTTAATGCAACACTTCTTATAAAATTTCATCAACTTTCCCAAATTTTTGCTCACTTGCTTTTTTTTGGCAGTACCATCTTTTGAACAAAAATGGACTTTATTTGAGAAGCTAAAAAAAAAATTATTCACACTTTTACAATAAGATATCTTTAGGTTTGTCACAATTAAAGTGAATCTGTAAAAAACAAACTGCTACTTTGAATTATTTGTATAGTTTGATTTAAGAGAAAAACAAAAAACAAAAGAACAAAAAGAAAAAAAAGCTAAAAATGTAAAATTGTCCATGGTGACCAAAAAAAATTCCAACATATAGACAACTGTCCAGTCTGCAACAGGGGCACAACATGGCTTTCAAAAATAACTGAGGCAGTCAAAAATCAAAAGTACTTGAACAAGATAAAAGAACAAACCTTGAACAGTTTATCCACAATTTTGATCCCAGTGAACATCTTATTTGAAAATTGGAAAAATACACTAAGAATTTAGAGACCTTGAATTTAGAGACCATTTGAGTTAAAACAAGTCAAAGTATGCACCAAGACTCAGTTAATTGTAAGATCAATCCATATGCCACCAAATTCACAAACCAACACTTTAATTCACCATGGGACAATCCTGAGGATAGAACTTAAAAGCCTTAAACCTAATCTACCTGCTAATAAGACTGCTTCTGCACAAGCCTTACTGTCATCTCTCTTTATTAACCTTTACCACACTGCAAGCAAAAGTTTCTCCCTTTGGTATTCTAGGCACATTCTGTTGCCTTGAGACAGTTGCTATAAACACTTGTCAACAGTATTTTAAGCTGGAAATTGCTTACTACTGCTTTGGAATAAGATTTAACTTTGTTTTCTAACGCCATTTTGAATTCTTCTGGACTCTACATGAGGTGTAACACCAATTAAACCCACATTAAATTTTTTGTAAACAAAATTGGCCACATCAATATCCAACAAAATCTTTATTCAGGAGTTTTTCTTTGATTAGGACTCCGATGATGATTTTGAAGGCTTTACTCGAGTGGATATTGGCAGTGAAATGGTCGAAGATGAAAACCATGCTACTATCATCCAGGCCTGACTAATTTTATGGAAGCTACTGGTGACCATCGATATACCTGATAGCCTTTCTGAAAGTGAATTATTTTGTCTATTTATAAATGACAAAATAAATTTCTTTGTCAACAAGACAAATAAATACAAGTCAGGTGAAAGAAAGCAAACAAATGCTAGCATCTTATCATATGTAAACATGAGGAAACACATCACTTTTTTGATGAAATGAAGGCCTTTTTAACGATTTTGATTCTTATTATCACCCCCAGAACTTCACGAGGAGTAATAAAAGTTAAAGTACGTTGAATTATTTATATTTTTTAATGTTTTTTTTATTTTGTGTTTCAATTTTGTTTTTAATGTCAAAACATGCATACAAAACATAATGCATTACATCAAGTTATTACTCATTCATCCTTTTATTTTTATACAAAAGTAAAATGTATACACACAGTACAAAAAAAGTTATAGCAGTTTTAAAACAGTAGGTGTTAATGTTTTTGGTCCTTCAAAAAAAAACAAAAAAACAAAGAATGCAGTGGCAGGGGAGACAACTCTAGAAAGAATTTAGCATAGTAAAGGTTAACAGCTTCCTTATTGTATTTATTCAGACAGAAAGTGTCTGACTGGGCAAGGGAGTGTTATAAAATAAAATAAGACATATCTTGGCTGATTTGCAGGCAAATAAACTAACATACTCAAGAGCGAGAGCCAGATGTGAACGGGACAAGGCCCCATCACAAAATGACCATATTTATGCATATTCCCGACGCATGAGTTCCGGTCAAAAAATAAAATATTTTAAAGTGTCTCTATTTTTTGACCAATAAAAATGCTTCCTTCCTAATTATACTCACGTCGTTTTACGAGCCTGTCAAGCCATAAAAAAACGCCATAAAAGGGGTCACACAGAAGTACAACGGCAGTCAACAGGAGGCCAGGGAAGAGACCTGTCATGGTCAGGCCGAGCGGTCAGCAGCAGTAGCGCCACGCCAACCAGCGAGAACTACTATGAGAGATCAACCCAGATCTTCAGCCGGCCTATGAACTATACCACAAGGTAGCTGTCTCAAATCCACTCATTTCTATTGAAATAAATCACGTAAATCTATTTCTGCTGTTGTATTTCTTTCTTGCAACCATACGCTTGTCTATAACAGGAGTTAACTGGTGATTTTCTTTCATGACGATCAGTGCCTGTCCTCATGTTACAAATGTGATGCAGCAAAAAAAAAAAAACATGGAACTGAGAAATTTTCTTGTCTAACATTTAACAAATTCCTTTCAGACTATCTCTGGTTTTATTCCATGTAATACTTCGTGTTAGGTCAGCAAGTTTCAACCGTTTGAAAATGTAAGATTAATTGAAGAATTCATCAAAAGAACACCTGATGAGTTCTTTTCCTGATAGAATACATAATTTAGCTGAAAGGTGGCATAAGTGTGCAGAAGATATCCACTTACCTTCAAAAAGGCTGAGGGCATGTTGCTGCCAATACGATTGGCTCCATGATGCAAGGAAAAACTAGAATAGGCTCCATCTGTCATTTGCTGGCTGTGGATTAGTGTACCTATCTTAGAACACACAAAGTCAGTGGCAGTCATGAAAAGGTGTATAGGAAGATGACTGGACAAACTCATTACCTCATTTATAACAGAAGATAGTTGGTGGACTATAACAAAATGATTGATGGAATAGCCCGGATGTGCTGGCTACGGATCAGTGTACCTACCTTTGAATGCATATAAAGCCAGTGGCAATGACTGAGAGGAAGCCAATTTGTGGGAGACTGGATTTATGGCTATTTGAACATAAAAGTCTGTGAATTTTTTACAGTTTGCAACAATAAGGCATGAACCTGAGAAAATACTTTGATGACAGAATGATGATGCTATGAATTTATGACTAAAAGATTTAAAAAAAAAAAAAAAAAAAAAAAAAAAGCAATAAAAAAAAAACACAATCTTAAACAATTGATATTTTATTTAGAAAAATTGTAAAATTTCATTCAAACATTCCTAAGTTTTACAAATTAGGTCAGGCTTTAAAAACATTTAATCAAAGTAAAAGTTTGTTGTCAGTGGAGAAGGTTGTAATGAATAGTTCTTGACCTGGGCTCCAGACTAACATTTTTTCACCATCATCCTGAAACTGCTTTCCAAATTTTTAAACAGTCTTCAAATAAAAATGTTTTTTTTATTTTTAAACTTGGTTATCACTTATGATTAAAAAAAAAAAAAAAATGAAATTAAAATGTGTAGCAATAAATTAAAAAATGCTCGAATATTAGTTGTAAAAATAAAGACAAAAATTTAACATTTCTCCATATTTCTAAGATGAGGTATTGTAACTATTTACATTGTTCAGATTGTTGTCCTTATCTTTATTGTCATATTCACAACATTTTAGCCATTCAGTATCTGTCTATATTTCTGAGATGAGGTCACATTATTTGGACTATAAAACGTTTTGGCTGTTGTACACTTCGGCCTTCTTCAGGTGATTGGAATGTCGAACTTAACCCTTTATTTCGCTCACTGGGGTAAACTGTTCTAGTTCCACATGCTCAAGGACACATGGCACAGTGGATAAAGGCGTTGGTTAGATCCAGTGACAGGACCCAAAGAGTGTAAGTTCAATACCCGGTTAAGGCAATGGAGAACTTTCAGAGGGAAATTAACAGGAGATAACTGATAACTGACATCCATTAAACATGGCATGTGGAACTAGAACAGTCTACCTCAGTGAGCAAAATAAAGGGTTCAGTTCGACATTCCAACCACCTGAAGAAGGCCGGAGCATACAACGGCCGAAATGTTGTAATAAATATGGCGACAAAGATGAGGACAATAGTCCGAATAATGTAAATAATGTATTTTTTAACCGTTGTATATTCCAGCTTTCTTCAGGAGATTGTAGTTCCATGTGCCATGAGTTTTTTTTTTTTTTTTTGGTGGGGGGGGGTATCTCAGTTTGAATTATTTTCCTTTAGTAACTCAATTCTTCAAGTTTTTGTTCACCTTTGCTGTGGCCAGGTGTTGTAATAAAAGCATTAGTTGAAGTAATCCAAAAGTGACTTGGCCCAAAAAGTTGTGAGTTCAATACCTGGCCACAGCAGAGGTGAACAAAAACTAGGAGAGTTGAGTTACTAAACAGAAGCAACTGAAACTGAGATATACAGAAGAGGCATGGCATGTCGAACTAGAACATTCTACCCCAGTGGATGAAATAAAGGGCTCGGTTAAAAATTCCAATGTATTTCACCTGAAGAAGACTAGAGCGTATAATAGCCGAAACATCATGAATATGACAATAAAGATGTGGACAACTGCCTGAACGATGTAATTAGTGTAAACAAAAATTTAAATTTTACTGTAATTTTTTTTATAAAAATCACATTGTAATTTAAACATTTGCAGTAAATCAAAATAATTTTTCACGGAATTCTTCTTAATTTTCATGCTCAGCATAACTTTTTGTCATATTTTAAGAATCATACTTGATGCATTCATTTTCTATGTAAAAAGTATTAGCACACTCCATCTATTTACAAATCAAAAAGTCTTTGTCATTTCATTTTCACGTCACAACTAAATTTTTAAATTCTCCTAAGCGGTTACCCATCTAGGTACTGACCAGGTTCAAACGTTGCTTACCTATGATGATCTTACAAGATCTTGATTTTTATGATAAGCAGAAAACAACATATAAATGTTGATTTCTTAAATTTGGCAATTGTATGAGAACCAGTGTTTCAACATGATATAGCCGTAAGCTTACTGATACAAGCCCTACTAATTAACCCAAAGCTGGGGGGGAAGAAGAGATGGATTCATACCTCTGACAAAGATATCTGCACATAAGTGAATATAATGAATCCAACTTGAATTGGAACTCGGATCTCCAATTTCCATCAGACCACCTACACATCTAAGCTTGCAGCACCTGGTATTGCAAAGCGGTCACCAATTGAGCTACTGACCAGGCTTAAGGTTGCTTAACTTCGGTGATCATACAGGAACCGATGTTTCAATGTGATGAGGCTGTAATTATGCATGTACATACATACAAATATTTTTATGTATGCATGCTATATAAGCATTGTATGTATTAACTCACGCACACAAAAAAAAATCTTTCACCGTTAATAAATCATTCTTGAATTGCCCCACTTAAAAATCAGATTGACCTCCTGTGAAGCGTGCGCCCCACTTTTGGAACCATGGCTTTAAACTCTGCACATCCTCAGTCATGTGCCATGCATGATACACACTTAGGCGATCATGTATCTTTCAATACACGGCTGATGAGGCAGATTTTTTTTTCCATGCAGTAGGTTGCCATTTCTTTCTGTGGTAGACCAGTTACCATCCAAGGTGAGAGAACCCAGTCTGTCCTGCTATTTACCCATAGCTATGGGGAGAAGAAGAGGATTCATACCTTTCCCAATAGGTATTAGCTCGTAAGTGAATGTAATGGATTTGATTGGAATTCAAACTCGGCTCTCCAATTTCTCAATCCATGCCACTATCCTACAATATTTATTTAGCAATTTTACCTGCAACATGCTTTCACTGTAAATCGAGGCTGATTTTTGTCTGTCTTTAGTTAAAATGTCCTGAACCTGCCTTGGTATTCTCTGTAGCTGACTTAAGAGACAATACTATTTGTTCTCTCATTCCTATAAAACCCACTTCAGGCTCACTTTCCTTTGTTCTTCATTTACAGACGATTATCATAAAAGTTTGTGTTACCTATGTTAGAAACTTGCCTATCCCTCTGTACAATCATGTGATGTTTGAGTCCCATAACAGATTTACAAACATTGTCAGAAAACTTGCACAAGTAACCTGCAGGTCTTTCTGGTAGGGTTGCATTCACAGGAGTTTGCACTTGGCCTCTCTAGTGTGATCTTACCAGAACTAGCTAAACCAGCTGCTGAAAGGGTGAATTTTTCACAATCACAGCAAGTATTTTGGTGTCCTAATAGCTCTTGGACGGATTCTATTTCACTCTTCCTAATGGCATGCTTTTTGTTGAATGCGAAATTCTCTTCTGCTCAGAATCGTTGTAGTGTTCCCAAATCAACTTTCTCCAGACAGATCTGTCACAAGCAGCAGTTTCCGCAATCTTCAACACTAGTGCCAAGAGTTTTTAGGTTACATTTAACTACATCCTTGAAACGTTTTTTGAGCTTATGATCAGGCTGATTAGATTGTACCAGCTCAAAATTTTTTGAGCAATTTGTATTGGGTGAACGATAGTTAAAAAAATGAAACCTTCCCTTACCGATCTCCATAGATAAGACCACCTGTCAGATTTTATTAACATCACCAGACCAGGAAGCAAAGATTTAGTGACAGAGAAGGGCTGAATAGATGATGGTTCGAAAGGAGAAAAAGGCAGAAAATGTAGGGATGAGAGAGGGAAAAAGTAGTGATACATTAATAAAATATAAAATAAAATATAATATAAAAAATAAAATAATATAAAATATAAAATAAAATATAAAATAAAATATAAAATAAAATATAAAATAATATAAAATTTAATATATAATATAATATAAAATAAAAAATATTTTAAAAAAACGGAGTGATAATGATATATAAATTTTTATATATCAAGAACAATTTTAGGGGAAAGATATATGTCAGTCAGTTATGTGTCCTGTGTGATACACGCTTAGGTGAACATGTATCTTTCAATACATGACTGACAAGGCAGATTTTTTCCCCACAGTAAGTTGCCATTTCTTTCTGCAGTAGACCAGTTGCCACCCAAGACTATAGAACCCAGTCTGTCCTGCTATTTACTCATAGTTGGAAGAAGAAGAAGAGGATTCATACCTTTCCCAAGAGTATTAGCACATAAGTGAATATAATGGATTCCACTGGAATTTGAACTCGGCTCTCCGATTCCTTAATCCGAGCCACTACACATTACTCCATTGTAAAAAGTTTTCATGTGATGCATTTCATCCTTTAGAATTTTATCAGAGTATGTTTATGTTTACCTTGATGCAATTACACATGCTCACAAACAAGAGACACTGGGAATTTTAAATTCAAATATGATTTTATTTATTTTATTCTTAAATACGAATTTTCTTGCCCAGGTGTTCTCAACCAGTGTAGAATTAAAAGAGGCAATTTCAGGGTTTTGGGACAGGAAGGGGTTGATTTGGGGCCACAGATTGGTAGGCTCAAAATGGTAACTTTTAAATTCCCCAAGGTGCACGAACCACAATGTGCATCAGTCTATGCAACTGAGGGGGGGGAGGCGTCATGCCAGGTCTTCTTTCTGCTAGTTCTTGTGTTTTTTGCACTACAAAAATAATCAATGAAAACATATACGTACTAATAGACAAAAGAAGGAAGATTTTCAATAATATATGCATTTTATTTGGAATGCACCTTTTGAGTTGGAAAATCTTGGAAAGTGAAGTGAAATTTGAAGAACAAACAAAAAATTATATTGTGGATATAAAGTGGGGGATAAATTCTATATTACAATCAATATATAAACAGATGACTCACTTTGTGGGCATGGTAGATTGAATTTCTATTTTTTTTTTTTGAGATAATGATTTAGTGATACAAGTCTTATTAATTAACCTATAGCTGAGGGGAGAAGAGGCTGATCCATAATTTTCCTAAGGGTATTTGTAGGTGAATACAATAAACCCCATTGAAATTGGATCTCTTCTGAGCAATTACCCATTACACCACTCCCACACCCAAGCTTACAGCACTTGGTATTCCCAAGCAGTTATCCATCTAGGTATTGACCAGGCTCAATGTTGCTTAACTTTGTTAATTATATGGGAACTGGGGTTTCAATATAAATGGTTGTAAGCACCATATTTGAACTATTGTTACTACTTTATAACTGTTAATTGTAATTAGATTAAATATAAGACAGATCTAACATTGTCATAGACAAGATTATCTTATTTAAATATTTAGTCGTTTGTTACTGTCCAAAGTCCTGAGATTAGGAGTTATCATTATTTACATGCGGACTATTGTCCACATTACTGCTTTTGTTGTCATAATGTTTCAACAGTTTTGCCCTCTGGCCTTCATCAGGTACATGTCAATCCAGGTAAACTTCAGGGAATTTTGAGTTGAAATCTTTATTTAATCTACAGGAGTAGATTGTATAGGGACAGCAGAACAAGAACAATCTAACCCCATAGATTAAATAAGGAGTTAAGTTTGAAATTCCCTGACGGTTACCCAGATTGACAAGCACCTGATGAAGACGAGCGCACAACAGCTGAAACATTGTGATAATAATAACAAAAATAAGGATAATAGTCCACCTGCAAATGATGTAAATATTAGCTGTTACTCTCAGGTTTTCTTTGAATTTCTTCTTTGCCATCATAATTATAAGTTTATCAGTTTCTTTTAATCAAGTATTCATTTGTCCAGAACATAATTCTTATCAGCAACGGCAAACCCATGTATGAAACTAATTCATTTATTCCTTTGGAATATCTGGAAGTTGTTTTGTTAAGGTGTTCAACTGATATCTTCTTATGGTTGGCAGTCAGAGAAGAAAAGCTGAATTCAAAGCCATGTAGAGCACTACTTAAATCAAGAGGTCTGCTTAATAAAACAAAATAAAAAAATAAACCAAGTAAAAATAAACAAAATAAAAAAATAAAGAAAATAAAAAAAAATAAGGAAAATAAAAAAAATAAAGAAAATAAAAAAAAATAAAGAAAATAAAAAAAATAAAAATAAACTAAAAAAATTAGGAAAGAATTTCTTTTTAACAAGTTTTGCACACATGAGACTTTCCTCAAGCCATCACATTTGTCAGAATAAAAAAAAATAAAAAATAAAATAAAAAATAAAAAAAAAATAATTAAATTTTTATTTTTTATTATTTAGAAAAGGTGTGTCCTGCTCATAATACAAATAAAGTGTAAAATCAATGCCCGATTTCTAAAAAACGTTAGCTGTACTTTTTTTACTTACAAATATGCTTACATCATTGTTGTTTGCATTTTGTTTTATTTAAAAAAATGGTTTAAACAAACAATTAAAAAGAACATTATCTATATCTATAATTCTCAAAATGTGTGTGTGTGTGTGTGTGTGTGTGTGTGTGTGTGATTGGATGTTGTTTATGCATTTCCACAGTTTTCATCCATTTCGATGAAATTTATTTTGTTTGATAGATAATTCTTAAGTGTCGGTTTTGAGTTCAAGTTGGCTGGAAAAAATTACAACCTTGAAGGTGAAAAATCGAAAAAAAATTGACTTTTTACACTTTGTGCAAAAATCAAAGGCAAAATTTAGTGTCTGTAAAAAACAGAGTACAATCAATTTAGAGAGTTGAAATCTAACGGAAAAAATTATTGGAATTATAATAAAAATTACATTATAAATAAAAATTATCATATATTATTATAAAAAAAACATCACTTTTCAGGGCTACCCCCCCCCATTTGAGAGTGTGCCTCAGTTGCCTCCAATTGTTGTTACCAATATTGATTTTCAGGTGGGCTGACTTTAAACTTAAACTGCTCCAATTGGATGGCAAAAATTCCCAATAATGAAACACCTGTTTGAAGATGGGTTATAATGCTAGTGTATATATATATATATATATATATATATATATATATATATATATATATAAGTGAACATTGACGTCAACACTCAGAGGCAATAGGGTGTTTCATGCTGGACGCAATCAGGCCGCTTGGGAGTGGAAGTGGTGTAATGGGTAATAGCGGCCTGATAATTGCGTCTAGCATGAAACAGCCTGTCACTTCCAACGTTCACAATTACATACACTATCTCTGATATTGAGCACTTTATCCCATAAATATAGCACACCTTAAAACTATATATATATATATATATATATATATATATATATATATATATATATATATATATATATATAAGCTTTATCCAGTTACTACTAAAAAGTGAGTTCAATTCTCACTGGGTGCTTCATATTTTCGGCCTTGTGCCACATCTAAGCTATGCTTGGAAAATATATAGCTTTT